TACCAGGCTGTAACTAAATGCAAAGGTTAGTTTTCCAGAAAGGGGAAGATATACAGGGTGAGGTGTCCAGGACCCAAGTGGGTGTCTGCTGCTCACTCTCCATTTTTAAACATAAATTTATTGAAAGGCTAGTAGTACAATATATGTGATGACTTCTGCAAAAACAGGGAGAAGAGGGCATTTTTAACTATGAGTAGGATGTTTTAGTCTTATAAATTCTGTCACACTTAAAATATAAAGATAACTTCACAGCTGTTAACATTCATGATGATTAATAGCCTGTGTTTAGCTGTGTACTTCCTAATACACATTTGTGGCTTCTAAAATAGATTTCTAACCAGAGACATATATAAGCCTGTTCCTAAAGGAGAGGTCATCTAGTACATTTCCCTGTAGTGCTGTCCTCCAGGAGAAGTATGCTATCAGGGAGTTTGGGATTTTTTCCAAAATGCTAAATAATCATTTTGGAGCTGAAGCTGAATGGCAAAGCTTTCAAACAAATTTCCTGTGAAAATGGGTCCTGAATCTAATTGGTATAATGGATCAGATAGAGAGTAGAAATTTGTTCTGATGGTGAATGTTGCAAAGTGACTATATATTATTGGGGACTGCGTTTACAGGATTCTCTGGCATAAGGAAGTAGAATATGGAGAAAAGTTCAGTTATCTGAAAAGGGCAAGCACATGTTGCTGTTTTCTTAGCTTTACTGTACAAAAGGACTTCACAAAAATTTTTATTGTCACCAAAAAATTATACAAATCCCCTCTAATAGCTAAATTTTGTGCTGCATGTGCACATCTGACTCCAGCTGACTTTGGTTTGTATTAAATAATCTAACTAATATCCTTGGCCTATCAGCCTTTAGTGTAAGCTAATATTCCTTGGCTATCTCACTAAATCTAAGGTTTTCTGCTTATCAGCACTCTTATGAACTTGTCAGCTTCATTTAATGTTGACTTCCCACAGGCAACACCATCAACTTTTAGAACTAAAATGCATAGTTTGGGGGTTTTTTAGGGATTTTTTGCTAGGTGGATGTTGCAGAGTTTTATTTTTTAATTTATACTAGCCTTCTATAATAGAGAAGTTAAAATGAGCAGCTAGTTCTATTAAAAATCTATAGACATTAAAGTGAGAATTAAAAATTCAAACAGAGGTAGTCAAAGTTTCTGTCCACATACCCACATCATTCCATGACAAAAAGGCATGAAAAACATACCATGCACTTTGGAGAGCTGAGGAGTGGGGGAACAGGTACTGAGTGGGATGAGGACTCCCTGGGGTGATACAGGACTGGGCTGGGCGTACAGCCAGGGCCCAGGATGCCCCAAGAATTTCCACCTTCATGAGCTGCATTGCGTGGCTGGTTTCCTCCTGTGAGCTGGGAATTTGGTTCAGCCACCAGCACCTGTGCCAGCACAGTCCTGCTCCCAAATACAGGAGATTAAATCAGCAGGGGAGCCACACTGACTGCTTGCAAGTTGTGTTAGATCACGAGTTGCAGTTTGACCAGCTATATTAAACAATTTTAAAGCATAAACGAAGAAGAGTTCTGTGACAGAGATCAGCAATATTAATAACAACAGAGGAGGCTGCACTTGGAAACAAAATATGAAGATACAAGGGGGTCAAGATAACCTGCTCACCTCAGAGTCACTCTTTCTACCACTGTTGTTACAAGGAAGACAGATGACAATATATGTTCTTACCTCACCGTTCAACTTTTTCAGGTCATTAAGCAATGCTAATGGAAACCAGAGGAATATAAGCCAGTCAATGACTCAAAAGCATCAGCCCTTCTCAGTCATCTTCAGTCCTCACATATTGTATAATTACAACATATGAAAGCTATTTTTCCTTTTCCTTTCTAAAAGATGAAATATGCTTGACTCCGTGTTAAACATGAAATGTTAAATCACCTAGATTACCACAAGATCAGAAAGTGGCTGCTATATGTATGCTGAACATCCCTACCTTGAGAAATACACTGGGGTTTAGCATTCATGGTCTTTAAGATACCAAAGCATGTACCGTGCATAAAGGGCCAAAATACGTGCAGCTATTTGCCTCTGCAAACCTGGGACATCACAGAGGTTGCCAAGGGCAGAAATTGGTCTGTGGATCAAAGAGTTTTCTCATGTTAAAGGCTGAGAAGAGGATATGCTCCAATATCTGTACACCTCCAGAGATAAGCTAAGGTATATTGCCTCCTCCCCCCCCCACTTTTTTAAACATAATCAAAATACAAAACAATGTTCAAAAATTTTAATCAAAAGCTAGACAACCTTCAGCCCTTAACTTCACCCAAGGTAGAAGTAATCGTTCCATGCTGCAGGGAGTGCTGGGCAGGACACCTGAAGGAAAAAACTTAATTTCCAAGCTAACAATAAAGTTCTAGTATGAATTTTGTTTCAATTACCAATAAACACAGCTCTAGAAGAGATTAAATTTGCACCCTGTCAGCTCTGTGCAGACACATATGCACACTGTGCTAGGATCCCAGAAGACACTTGGCAATCTGGCTGGCTAGGGTTGGATCTTTCACTCAATGCAGAACTGCTTTCAGGTAAAAACTGCAGCAAGAGCAAGGTGCTTGTAGCAGAAGATTAGGGCAGTTTAACTTTGGTTATGTGCTTTAACAGAGAACAAATATTTAATAAAACTAGGTACTGAACTTTATTTTTGCACTGTTTAACCTGTAGAGAATACAATCATTTGAAGAAGAAAAAAAAACTACTAAAAGAAACACCTGGTAGAACATGCAAATTTAAGTATTACTTTACTTTCACAGAAATAAAGGATTTTTTTTTTTTTAAGTTACATGCAATTGAAACAAATTTTAAATGGTGAAATTAGTATGCCACAAGCTGAATTACATCTTCATATTTTGCATGCTAGCGGCTCAGTCTAGCAAACAAAAAAAAAAGCTAAGTTTAACTTATCTCTAGTTAAAACGGGATTTACTAAATATTTGTGTACTTTGCTGAACTAAGACCTAAGAGATACCCACAATACTTGTTTTTCATATTGGAGAATTATGGGGTTTAGCCTTTTTGTTTTAAAAAATAGAATCAAATAATATAACTCTGCTTAAAAAAATAAAAGTTTTAAATCTCTCTAAGGAAGGCTGATCGTTTATGTTGAGAACTGCTACGTTATAGCTGAAAAAGTGAGTTTATTTCAGTCATTCTAGAATCCCCGTACCTGAAGAATACCTATTTAAAGCCGAGCCATTCAAGAAACTGTGCAGCTGGTCCCCAGCTAAAAGCTAAAGAATCATAGAGCTAAGAGGGGATTTTAGTTGCTGACTTTTTGCAGAATGGTACCTACTTATTGATAGAAACATTTTTAATGGAAGTAACATGTTGTGTCTTGTTAGCTGCATCCAGCATGCATTTTTTTCAGGTGTTTCACTTACATTTCAGTCTCAGACTGTACCTTACTGGGGAAAGGAATGGTGTATTCACACCCCTTTGTACCAGTGAGGTCACCCAAAGGAGTTCTGTGAAGAACTTGCATCAGCAAATGGACAAGTCAGCACACAAAAAAAGTATCAAAACTGCCATCTAGTGTTAGGTTCAAGGTTGACAAAGAGGCAGCACAGCACAAGTAAGGCAGTGAAAAATGAGAGGCAAGAAGGGATAACCGCAGCGATTATACAAGGCTGAACTTACCTCCTGTTCAACACTACTGAAATCTGAGAAGGTGAACTTTAGATCTGCTACAAATAAGTGAAATACATGCCAGCAAAGTAATTATATGTGAACAAAGTAGCCTGTGGAAGGAGCAGCCTACAGGATTCCCTCTCACAGTACATTTGATAAAGCAGGTACTTGTTTCTACCACTGAAATGGTACATTCTCCAAGCTGCTGTATATTGCTATTTTTACTTGCTACACAAAGAAAGTGAAGATACAGGGACAGTAGCATCCCACACGTAACTGGACAGCCATCTTCACAGAAGAGAGCAAAACAAAGATGGTTGAGGCAGATGACTATAACAGAAAAGAATTTCTGCTCATTTCCCCCTGAATAAACCAATACTGTGCTTAGTCACATGGCTGTGGGAAGACAGGGAATCAACTCTACAATGAGATAGCCAACTTTCAAACTAGCTCCTTAAAAACACGGCATCCATTTCTACCTGGTTAGAAGATAAATGCAGAGGGGTGGCATAACTTACTAGCATGACCAGTCTGATTTTTCAGTATTGCTTAATCACCCCATCAAGCAGATGCTTCTGTCCTTAATGGCAGAGAGAAAAATGCCAAGAACTGTAAAGCCACAGTAGCTGAAAGCTTCCTGTCTTGGAGGATTATTTTCATCCTTAGCTATTAGGAGATAGATAATAAACCTATTCTTTTGGTTGAATTATTTGTTATTGAATAAGCAATATAGGGATTTTTTTGTAATGAAGTACCAAAGCATAATCAGGAAAAGAAAAGTTTGTTCTCAGAACAGACAAACACGGTTTTACAGATGCAATTATCATTTATTCTCATTAAACAGGACTTTTTTTTGGTTTTTTTTGTTTTGTTTTGTTTTAAATCAAAAGATAGTCAAACTGCTATGAAAAAGATTATGAAAAAGGTTACAGGCAGAGATCAATTTACAGCTTATTTATAAAGTTAGCACTTTACTTCAGAAAAGCATAATTTTCTTCTTTCTGAAATTAATATTAAATTTCTTAAGCAATTACTTCCATATGAAAAAAATGTGAGTCCCAACAGTAATCTATTCTGTAAAGAGCTTAAGACAGTTCAGAAACAAAGACAGCAAAATTCCCCAAAACACAAAAGACATACACTAAACAATTCAAGTGTTCTGTTTTCCCATTTCTGTAATTTGTTCTTATTTAAAATTGTTACTAAAGACCTACTATTACAAATCATTACAGTTTTCCATGTCCAGATCACCCATAGTATAACTGTCATACATCCACCCAAACATGTACTTTAATACCTGAATATCCAGTCAGCGTCGCAAAGTAAGGGCCCTGTCCTGCAATCAAGCTCAGCTGATTTTAGCAGGACTCCCAGAGGTTTCAGGGTTTGCCAGCAGAGAACTCACTGTAAATTCCTATTTTAGAGGATCCAAGGCCACAATCCAGAAGAAAGCACCCATCCTCAGTAAGTTTAGATTTCAACTGTATGTAAATGCTGATAGTCAATTGTAGGAATAGGATGTAAGGGAGAAGTATTAAATCTAAAACTGCTGTCATAGGATATTCAGTCTCTATTTATAGTCAGGCTGAAGCATCTTGGAGGGGTCCCTGAATAGCAATAGCTTCAATCTCAACTCTGGCACCCTGTGAGAAAACAATGAAGAAATGAACTAGGAATTTAATATATCTATTTTATGAAGCAATTGGATGTATAACACAAGCTTGTAAGAACAGAGTGACATTTGAGGGAGTAATACAACTGTCAGAAGTATAATCTAATTTAGCAATGTTAAGTAATATTGAAAATTCACTTTACTCTTACTTAAGTATCATAACCCCTTATTTCTAGTGTTGTAGCCCTCTTCCACCATAAAGAAATGTATCTTTCCTATTCAGGTCTCTTATATGTGGGAATAAGACTGGTATACTTAGAAAAAAACTAAATACTTAAGAGTCTTCATTAAAATAAGAAAAGCTGTTAGAATGCTTCAGAAGTAAGGAATTTCAGAATTTTTTTTTTTTTTGTAGGCAGAAAAGTGACACTTACTTTGGGCAAAGCAGCAACCTGATAGGCTGCTCTGGCTGGGAAGTTTGTCTTGAAAACTGTAATTTAAACAGAAACGTCCACCAATCACTTAACTTTGCTTGATAAAACACAGTTCAAAGTAATCTGTATAAAATGCAGTCATTGGAATAGTTTTAGGTTCAAGGCTACAAGACAAATAATCTTCTGTGCCAGCTATCGTTTCCCCCTTGCTGGTTTTTTTTTTTGGTCACTGACTTCTCTAACAGCTCAGCAAGCTACCATTCATCACCAAGAAGCCAGCTACAGTTGTGATCTAGTGGCCAGTGATAACTTGCATTCTGCTGACACTGCATGGCCTTAACACCAACTTGGCTGAAAAAGAAAGATTAAATCAAAATGGTGATCATCCAATTGCAAACACCAGGGAGTGGGAGAGGGCTCTTTCACAAAAAAGCAAAAGGGAAAAACAGGCCCTTGCCAAAAGAGTCATAAGCAAATATCCCAGGTTTGCATAAAGTCAACAGGGGGCCAGCCTTACTTATATCAAGGGAAGGCAGAGGAAAAATAGGCCCTTGACCTATTCCTCCATTCCCAATTAGGCCTGGCACTCAAGGATATTAAAAGAACGGGGTGTGGGTGGGAACGGGGGGGTATTGGTAAGGATATATGAGCTGAATTTATAGAATCATAGAATAGTTCAGGTTGGAAGGGACCTTTAAAGATCATCTAGTCCAACACCACCCCCCCGCCCCCCACCACAGGCAAGAACATCTTTCACTAGATCAGGTTGCTCAAAGCCCCATCCAACCTGACCTTGAACACTTCCAAGGAATCTGCATAATTAAATTGAAGTTTTACTAGTGAAAGTTAACACTAAACTTAGAAATAGTAATTTCAGGGTCCAGCCAAAGAACAGCAGCAACTGCTTTCTTGAACTACAGGTAGGAGGCAACAAGTAACTAAGTATCCAGCTGGTCTGTTTTTAGGCTGCTTAAACACACACACAATTCCATTTTGACATGCAGAAGATTGTGTTGATAGCTCATCAATAAAAGACTTCATTCAAGACCAGATGTTGCTATCTAATTAAAAGCCATGTAAATAAGGAACTTCTGTGCATACTTGCCCAAATTGTTCTGCACAATATGGCTCATTGGAATCACCTTTTTCAGTCTACATTCAGTTTTATTAAGCAAGCATTATTCTGTTTTTCTGTTAAGTGGAGCAATGTGGCTCACCATTGTATAAAAATGAGCCCTGTCCCATAACAATAACCCACAAATCATTCAAAGATACAAATAGATGTTAAAGAAATGGAGATACAAAATCTGAAATTAAGCATTTGAAGGCTGCCTACAGTAGAATTATATTAGGGACAACACAGCATCTATCAAGTTAAAAAGGCATGGAAGATCAATCTATAGGGATAGTAGGAGCTGATCTTCACATGACAGTGAGTTAGTGGGATGGTAGGACACAAATTCACAAGAAATTAGGCTATGCTTGATCTGGTGCTTGCAAATTAAATTTTATTTTTTTTAATTGCTTTATTTCTACTGGAATCTTAAAGAATCTGGAACTACATCATCTGAGTCATTAAAACACTTTGCTTACTGTGAACATAATTTGTTCCACAAGCCATACCGGGAAAACAGAAACAAAAGATCTACTTACATTGTTTGTAAATATCATTAATATCATTGAAGTCCTTCATGTCTGCCATCAAAACTGTAGTCTTCACAACTAGAAATTACATAACTGCAGTTATTTTAGACCTCTGACTTGTACATAAAAGTTCAAAATCTTCAGTGCATTTCTTCCTTTTATTTCATAAGTTTCCCTCAAGTATTCTAAGCATTTTGAAAAGTTTTGCAAATGGATATTGATCACTAGAGCTACTACCTAGAGAACCACCTAAAAAATCCAAATACCTAGTATGTAATAAAACTTTAAGGAATTAGACATTCCTGACCATATCTGAAAATATGTGGTTTAAATTTCATTCTAAGCCAAATTCTTCCAAGAGGCACACAACTGATAAGAAGGTCTATTAAAAAAGCTGTTCTTAGCCAACTGTTGGCAATAGATTATATCATATGTAATATCTGCTACCAAAAAAGTCCCTAAAAGGCCTGAAAATATAGTCCATGCTAGAATTTTTTACCCATGGCTGCCCAAGCCAGCATTAATCCTGGTTTGGCTCCACTATTAGAATCCTCCCCCGAAAAAGTATTGAAAGTGCCTAGAATACTAACACCATAGATAGAAACCTGCTTTTACCTAGAGCAAAGCATAGGGTGCTTGAAATATCTGTAGTCAGTTGCAGCTCTGTCTATACCTGAGCTTCCCTAGTTAGAGTTAAAATATTAGTACCATGAGCAGAAACTTTTGGTGAAAGGCAGTGTTCCATTGATACCCTACCCATCACAAAGACTTGCAAGTTGATTTATTTCTTTTATTTTTTAACCCAGACTCATGATTCCTTTTGTTTCTTCCAGCTATTGATACCAATTGAATGTTTAGCAAACAGCTTTTTTTTTTATTTTTTAAAGGTCACTTTTTTTTTTTTAAATCCAGGTAAAAACAACCACTTGTTTGCCACCATCACAGCAGCACTTACCATTGCCATAGTCACAGCCTGCAGCTTTCAGGATTTCTCCCATGTTTTTTAGAGCCTAAAGAAAAATGAGACAAAAATCTTTTCACTATCAGCAGGGTTGTCTTTAGGTAAGTATGTATATATGAGTTGTAACTTGGCTATATCCATGTTATGGTATAAGTTCACCCAGCAAATCTTCAACAGTCCTCAGTGGGTAAGCAAAGTAAAAAATTAAAAGGGAGCTTCTAATAAACCACAAATATTAAACCATTTATTAGATGTAAATGCATGATGCAGCTCCACCTCATCCTATTACCTCACACCACCTCTTTGCTGCTGGGGGAACAATCTTCCCCCGAGTCAAGACAGGGTTTTTACTGGGATCTGAACCTGTTACAAACACTGATCCTTTCCTACTTTCCTACATGAAATACAGATTCCTCACCTGACCTCCAAGTTGTTCAGGTGGAAAATGACAGGGTTAGGATGGAAGGACTTCCTCCTGCTTCTCCTTCATCTTGGAGGATGTGAAATGTGCTCTCTAGATCTCTTCAATTTCTCATAAGTCCATGTCTAACTAAGCACATGCCAACTCCATTACAAGTCTATTGCTAGAAGATATCTTACCTGCTTAGCTTCTTCCTTTGCCCCTCCAGAGACAAGTTGGCCGGTGGAAGGTTCTATACCTATCTGTCCTGCAATGTACATCGTTCGGTCTACCAGCACTGCTTGACTGAAAACACAAGTGACATTTTAGGTTTAATGTTTCTCCATCAAAACATTTAACTATCTGAAAGCACATTTCACATTTTCTTCAGTAGTTTATAATACCTCAGACAGATAGAGGACTGAGGTTATGCACGCACAAGTCTGTACACACAGTCATACATTCAATCTCCTTATGCTTTTGGGAGAGGTGAGATTAGACCACCTAGGGAAGCGCATAGGTCATTTTTTTAGGAAATAAACTTTTTTTTCTCACAAAGACACAAGGTATAAGCGCAGCAACAAAACATTAAACTGAGCTACACAGCTTCCACACTGCAGATATCACAGAGGGGAGGCAGAGTAAATAAACACATTTTTTGCACCTGCCCAGATAAACATTCCATCCTAGTTTGAGAAGTAGACAATACCTTTCATCTACATCTCAGCTGCAGAACAATGAAGGCAAAAAAAAACAATCAAAAAGAGGGCTGATTGGAAAATTTAACATTTTTCTTCTCAAACAGGCACCATGATAATGAGTTACAGCTGTAAGGTGAAGTACTACACACTAGGTCTCTGGCAGCATTCCTCCAGTCACAAAATTGGCCAGTCAGCACACCACCTTGATCACTCCATTCCAGAACAATCACTCTCCTCTCACCAAATAACCTGAATGACCTGCTGGCTGGGTTAATTCTGAAGAATGCAGAATTCACAAAACATTTTTATATAAATGTCAGGTGTGTTTTTGCTGAAGTAGAGTTGGCAATTATTAATGTCTCTAATTACCACAAAGAGATTAAAAGATTAAAACAAAGACTTAAACTACCTAGCAAATATTATGCAAGAGACATAATTTACTTCTCTTCAACTGGTGATTAAAAATATTTTGCAAAGAAATTAGAGAAATATTCTTTTGAAAGTGTTTGCAGTGTATTAACACTGTTTTTCTTATCTCTTCCCATTCCACAAGAAAATTGTTTTGACAGTTCAACAAGCCTCTCAAGTTACACAAACTAGAGTTAGGCACCTTCCTGAACTACCTAAATTAGGAGGTTAGCTTCCCTTTAATGTCAATGGAAAAAGAAAGGGACTCTGAAAGAGAAAATTTTTATTACATCTCTTAATTGAGATTGACTCAGTTGGATTATCTCAATCCATTGACTTCACAGGGGACCAACCTAATTTAGGGAGTCCGTAAAATGATTACAGTTAGGCAATCCAAACAGTGCCATCACTCCCATCTTTCCTTTTATCCCTGACTTACATTCTCCTGTAATTTCATAAGGGGAAAAATAGCCAGTAATTTATCTGATATGGTAAAATATCTTACGTGGTCATCATTTTCTTTATCATCAACTAACAAAACTGGAGTAAATCACAAAACTACACCATTTAAAGAACAGAAACTAGTGAATGAAGTAGTTTTCTAGCTGATGCAGTCTTGTTGATAGAAAATGTGTGTATGAAAATTAAAGAAGTATGTGTGTTTGGTTATTTTCTTTTCTACCATGTCCTGCTTTGTTTGAGGCATAGGCCCTCAGGCCACAAAATTCCGTTTCCATTTGAAGTGCAGAGAACCATGCAACGAGAAGGTATGAGCTCTCTAAGAAAAGACATTGTCCTGTACTGCTTCTTATAAGCAAATGACACAATGAAACATTTATCACAACAGAGGCCTTCTGACAGTCCTAAATCACAAATAATTGGGGAAAAAAACAAGCTGAAGCCTTCTGATACCACTGCCAGATCAACATCTGCAGCAGTCTTATTGGATCTCCTTCTCTGCTCCTCAACTTCCTTCTCTTGGTATGCTTACTAGTGGAATCCTCCATTCACTGAGACTATTAACAATTTACCAGCTAAAGCATATACTTCTACTGCAGTCAAATGCATGAGTGAAGCTCAGAGAAACTTCAACTACACAAACCCCAATCATGTTTTAACTGCCGATGTATCCTATAACTAGGGTCAATCATAGTTACTCATTAATCTCTGATTCAGCAGAGATCCGAGTTGTGTGCCTGAAGTCTTTCAGGTTTCAGTATACCTAAGTGCATAACTAGATGGACATTATGATGTTAGAAGGACATCATTCATCAGAGAGATGGTGTTAAGAAGCACGTTTTTTTTTAAAGACAAGGACTGCAAAGTTAATTGGATCTTCTTTACAGAAATGATTATTGATAAATACAAGAACAGCATCTCTGCTGTGCCTTTTAAAAAAGTTTAAAAGCATTAGAGATACATATACACATACATACTCACATATATGTGCCTTTTTATATATCTATCTACCCACCTCAAGGTACTGGAAATTGGATGCAGTAAAGAAAATACAAAACCACAGTAAAAATAGGTCACCAAAAATCACACTGAAGGGCTGTAGGAGAACTGGGAATGCAGCCCATACATCCCAATTCTTCATTCCATACTAAGCCCTCATTCCTCTGTTACCATGCTCAGACTCCACAGCAGAGATGTAGCAGTTATTTCTTGTACAACTTTTGCTTACTGGACTTTGACAAGTTTCCTGAAACCTGATAAACTAAGTTAGTGATAAACTTACTGATGTTAGACCCATCATACAATTAACAGGCTGCACAATAAGCAGTATTTCATCAAGAACTACCAATAAGCACAAAATGTTGGAGTGCAGTTAATCCACAACAGAAGTGGAGAGCTATGTTGAAGGCTAGGCCAGTGGCATTTGTTTGCAACTGAAGAATTGTTGCCTTCCCATGTGTTAGATGTTCTCCTAACTACAAGCAATGCCAGCCCCCTGGCTGCAATCCACCAATAGTTTATTGTTTACAGAAATTAACCTTCATGTCATGTCTCTCTGCTTCTACACTTCGTATTTCTCTTTCTTTATAATTCCTATAAAGAACACACAGTTTGAAGCTCAGGAAGTTCAGTTTCAAAGTAGTGGAGACAAAAACACACCTGGAAGGCTCTCAGATGCTACCAGTAGAAAAGTTTAAACCAACAGAATCTGTGTTTATATTGGGAAAACAAAGCTTGAACGCAGAAGTAAAAATTCTTAGAAAATGCCCTGGTAAAAATCCCTCAGTACCTTAGCTATGAGAGTCTACTATAGTTACTGAACATTTTTTTCATACCCAAATAGCAAAGAGAAACCTTTATGCAATTTAAAATTGGGTTTTAAATTACATTTGGAACTGTTGCAACAACTTACTTGTGAAAACGTTGAACAAGGTCTTATATATTTTTACAGCAGTTAGTTTTTAGACCGAAAAGCATTTATAACCTGCTGGCAGTCACGTTCAAAATAAGAAGAGATTTGCAATTCCCATGCAGTGAACTCTCCAACTGCCAAAGCACGTCCTGGGTCGGGCTCAGCCTCCGCTTTCCGTCGCCTCCAGAGTCGGCATTCGCTGCTCATTTCCCTATGCAACGTGCCTTCTTCTAGGCAAGCATTTTTTCCTTGAGAGGAATTATTCTTGCGGTTTTTTCATTCAGTGCTTACCACTAATTTCGGAATTATTTTCCCAAACTGGCTTTTTGAGGGACGCTTTAAAAACCTCACCTAAAGCGATCAGGACTCCCCGCCGCCCCAGTCAGGCTGCAGTGTGCCGCTAGCACTGCAGACCCCTTCGCGCTATAGGGCCTCAGGTGTCCCTGGGGGGTTACTGGGGAGGAGACCGGTCCCCGCTCGGGGCGGGAGGGGGGGACCCCCCCCGCAGCCCCCAGGGCTGCCTGACAGACCCCCCTCCAGCGACCTGCTCCCTCTCGCTAAGGCATACCTGTAGGGACCCATCGCAGCAGGAGCCTTAGCAGTGCTGATTATTTTCTTCACGAGCGAGGCCATAGCTGCCGCCAGCCCCCTCCTGCCCTCTCCACAGCGTCCCGCCAACGGCTGCCCTTCGCCC